TGGGGAATATGCTAAGGCTGGTACTTTCTGGTTATGTAAAATGTGCCTAATAAGCTTCTGGGTGCTGACAATGGCACTGCAGCTCCAGCGAAGAAAATTAGTTATGTTACTATTTGTGAGACCATTTTTTTTTTCTAATACTGCTTAGTTAAGCAAAGCTCTGATTTTTATTTAATTACTTATTTTAATATGCGTATGAGAAATACATTTATTTAGGTTATGGGATTTTATATGCCATAATATTTTGGATGTAATTTTAACTCTACTGCTTGTAATTGCTGTAGAAAGTGGAAGTAGAGTAGCCTCAAAGTCAAAAGTGTATTGTAACTTTAGAGAGGCAGTAAATATGCTTGTTATTTTGAGAAGCAAATGTTGTTTTTCTTTCCAATTTACAAAGGATTGGTAATCAGTTGTTTTCTATGAAGATTTGAGGAATAAGAGAGAGATTTAGCATTCTAATGTAATTCCTCCACATATTTTAATAAAAATAAGGGGACAAGTGTCATGCATGATTTGCCTACTTTCTTTGTGACCTTATTATACAAGTTTTTTTTTCTCTTCATTATGAAATGCTTTTTTTCCACCATATTTGGATACAAATTTTATTCTGTTGCTTCTACAAGGTGTGCAGGAAGAAAAGTATTACAAAGGATGGGATAAATAGTCTTCTCTTTCCCACTCTTTTTGTTCAGCCTCAAGACCCACATTGCTTAATGTTTTTAGGCACTTGATGAAATACCTAGTGTAGTTGTTTGCAGTTACAGGTATGTGATAGACCTTTTACATTCGCGTATTATTTAACTTCCTTCAGCTAGCTCTGCTAAGCCACTGAATTCCAGTGATGAAAATACTGGAGACACCCCTTCTCTGTGGGCCTTACGCAGCTTTGTGACCAGATGCTTCAAAGAGTCGGCAAGCTGCTCATCTTCCTTTTTTCTTTGCAGAATAAATAACCCTGTTTTTTTTTTGTTGTTGTTGTTTGTATGTTTTTTTTTTTTTTTTCTGCCTAGCTTCCTAAGCCAAGTCAAAGTGTAATATGGAATCTGTGTGTCAAAGGTTTATTTTGTTTGTCTCAGACAAGCTGTTGGCTGGACTTCCCCCACCCCTCTGAGTCTGTGATATATCTGCGCTCTATGTAAATTTTTACTGTCTTTGATCAAGCAGTGAATCCTTTTCTCAGGGTTGAGCGTTTATGCCTCAGACTGAAATTAGCTTGTTGTGACTGAAATAAGTTCAAATTTATTTTAAGCAACTAATTTTTAGCCTGGCTTTTAGGAACAATTTATCTGCTGTGCCAACTGGATTGAGTTTGGTGTACACAAAGCGGCCTGGAGATGAATTGCGTCCCCCCTGGACCTTTTTCTATCACAGACTTCTTAGTATTGAGAGTAAATGATTAATACATGGCTCAAGCAATTAAAACTTTTTTTTTGGGGGGGGGGTGTCAATTAAATGTATTTGTTGTGTAAATAAAGACTGTGAGCAGCTGAAGAAAGTCTGTGGTAATACTGAAACCTCATGTCTTCAAACAAGTTCCGTGACTGCTTTGTACAGGCTAAGTGTGCTAGAGAAGCTCCTGAAAAGCAGACCTTTAATACTTAAGTTTTGGGCAATCAAAATTAGGTATTTGGCCTTTTATCTTTCCATGTTTGAGTTCTTTATAGAGAGGTGATTGCATATCCCTGTAAAGGAGCATTGCGAAAATAAATACAATGGAAAGTGTTATGATTTTGTCACTTCATTGCCACAGAGTCATCTTCTGTTCCTTTCTTCCCCCCTTGATGAAATTAATAAGTTCTGTATTTGTGGTGTGCAGGAGTGCAAGCTGCAAGTGCTGTATTAAAGGCCTCTTTGAGGCCTTAGCAATAGAAAATAGAATTTTGGATTTGGATTCCAGCTGTTTCACTGGACTCGTTATAAAACACTGGAGACCTTGAGAAAATAAAATAAATAAATGCGCAGAGGTAAATGGGAAGTTCTGAGTTTCCTCTTTTTTTGTCATGTGATACTTGATATTGGTACAGATGGTAAGAGTTCCCCACCCAAACTTAAGTCTCTTTCCAAAGCAGTCTTGTAAGATTTGCTAAGTGTCCTGCAGGTAGCGCTTAAATTGAAGGCGGGTCAAACTGTTTGTCAAAGATGTGTTTCTAGAAAGTGAATCGGTTAATGTTTTAACAGGTTCAGAAGTATATAGTTTTAGTCAAAAGTATTATAGTTATAAATGTGAGAGGGAGAGAGGTGCGCAGCTGCCTATGCAGTAGACGCAATGTGCGGGCATGGTATATATGACGTGAAAGATGAAGAGGCCAGAGGGGGATCATCAGGGCTCTTAGCAGGAAGAGGCTCTGTGTTTGCAGCACAGATAGTAGCTACTGAAAAGCCAGTGTTTTCTGTTGACATCCTGCTCCTTCCTCTCCATCTGCTTTAACGTGCCAGTAGCCAGTATGTTCCAGAAAGCTTTCAAGAAGATCCACTTTATGCTTTGGGTAGTGATAACAAAAGAATAATGAATATGGTCTTTATTTAAATAAATAAATGTCAAGATCTGGTGACTTGCAGTTCCAATTGCCTTGCCACAGACTTCCTTAGGCTACATGCAGTCATCTCTCTCAGTATCAAGCAACATTGGAGGATAATCTCTTAGGAAAGGGTTGCAAGTAACTTTATTGCAAGATGAGACGGTGAAGTTCTTTAATGGCCAGTCCCCATCAATTCCCAATGCTTTCATGGTGATCTTGATCAGGAAAGAGAGGTTCTTTTCTCCTGAAGGATGTTATAGGCTGTCTGCACATCTACTTTATTATTATGTAATGCAAGATGACTATTTTGGGGGAGGGGCATGTATTGTGAAAAGATTAAAGCCAATGGCTCTACCATTATGTAATTGAGTTTGCTGTTGTCTAAAACAAGGGCTTCTTTTCAAAAATATGCATATGCAAAAATATGCATGTGTGATGCTTAGTATCCCTGGGTATAGCAGAGTTTCTTTCTTTATCATCACTACTGGAAACCATGGCTGGAGTTGGGGTATTATTTTTAATTAATTAATTTATTTTTATTTACTGCTTTCATATTTCTTTTCTTTCCATTCTATTTCTTATTATCAGAAGAGGTGGTAAAGAAATTGCTAATGCTTTTCCTTGAGACTGTGTTCTTGTTTTATTTCAAAACACAGACTCTTCGTGCAGAATATGGAATTTACTCAAATGTAGGTGAGATATAAATACTTTTTAAACTTTTTTTTCTCTTTTTAACTTTTCCAGTCATATCTTATTTCTGAGTTGTTAAATACTGAGAGAATAGTATGGATAGCAAGAAAAACAATTCATTCATTTTTTTCTTAAAATAATACTTTTAAAATACTAATTATTGCAAAGGTGCCATGCTGCTTAAAAAAAAAAAAAACAGAGCTTTATCAGTGGTATTTAGTTTCATATGCAGTGATTCCTGATGGAAAGTATCAAAGACTCCTTAAAGAAAAGGAGATAAACTACTAATTTTTGAGAGTTGAATGCTAACATTGATTTGCAAGACAGGTTGCCAGGAGTTGGAATCTGTATTATTTTATTTTTTCAAAAACCCTTGTCTTCATGTAAGAAAGCTTGACAGATAATGCGATAATTACGTAATGACTTCAGATGAAACAACTGAAATGGTGCTGTAAAATTATAAGTATGACTGATCTGAGTGACTCCCTGTTAATCACACTTAATTGATATAACCCAATTGCAAGATGATTTATGCATGGTTTGAAAAAGTATGCAAGATCAGGAGGATTGCTTTTGTGCTCTCTGTATAGTGGTTGTGTGTAGTCACTTGTTATAAGATGATTCAAATATGTCTTAAAGCAAGAGAATCAATAGGCTCCCTGGATAAAAATGTTAAGGAAATTTTCCATGGCTCCCAAGGATCGCATGGACGCGTGTGCTTCAGCCTTGGCCTCGCTGGTATAGCCGTTCTGTGCCGCCGACCACTGTAAAGGCCTGATCAGCTTCCCCCTTTAATCTGGGAAAGCCTGTGGATATCTCATTCCGTTTTCCTGTGCTCACGTGCAGCCTCCCTAGCCTTCTCTCCCTATGCGTAGAGAACTGTAGGGCTGCTACCTCTCGGCAGTCCTGATGATGCTCCTTTGGTACGTGTTGAAGATGGGTTGAACATCCTTTTTGGAGTGAAATACTGGCTTAATGAGATTCACAATTATGATTAAAAGCTCTGTAACAAGTTTAACTACCTCTCAGCTTTCAGGTATCTCTGCAGATCTAGTGTACAGCCTAAGCCTCCAGATTCTGAGCTATTAAATTAATTAGCAATTAAAAACAGGTTTCAGAATTGGTATCCTGGGCTAGGATTCTTTGTGGGTATGAGGAGCTCTTTTCTGTTCTCTGTCATTGCTTGTTAAAATGAGGAGAAAACTTATTGTATAAACATCCTGAAGCAACATGCATTATGAGATTGGTTTACAAAACTCAGTGTTAAGCCTGAATAGAACAAAAGATAATCTTTGGGGAGTTGTTCATCTCCCTGCAGAAGTAACTCTACCTTGTTTGTTTGTTTTCAGATTGTGTTTGGCATTCTGTATGTGAGAAATAGGAGGTATAAAATGTGAGTTATTGGAGGCTAAGCTGTAATACTGAGATACTTGATTCACCAGTTAAATATAATAATGCTCTTGAAATAAGATGACTAAGGATGCTATGAAAGCAATGTTCTATAGAACAAATATCTAATATGCAAATATGAAAGCGTGCAATTTGTTTTGTGTTACTTATTGTATGCTAGAAGGATTGGATTAATTTTTATACTTAATAGATTTTACTCATGTCTATTTGCCTTTTGACTCGGTGCTATGGTATAATTGTAGGGTTGTTGTTCTATGGGGTATTTAGACTACTAAATTTGGAGTACTTAGTCTTTTTAGGTATTGTTCACATAGTGCTACATACTCATTTTTTTTTTCTGTAAACTGTACTGTGCTTATTACTTAGGATTTTTGCTCTCAGTTCTATAGGTGCTGATATAGAAGCAGCCTAGCAATGGATCAAAGAAAAAATGATAGCTTTGTCCCAAGTATCACACAATTGGAAGACTTCCTGACAGAGCATGACTCCAATGTAGTTTGGCTGTTAGTAGGTAAGGTGAATCTTTTTGGTTTTGATTAAATTATTATTATTTTTTTTTGTGTGAGTGCTTTTAAACATCTCTAAATGCTGTAACAATAATTTAGAATTTCTTACTAAAAGACATCAACATATGATGAGCTGATTTTCATTTGTCATACCACTGCTTCGTGTGAGGTGTGGCGACGCAACTGAGGTAAATCAGAAAAAATACAGAATTGCTTCCAATACTTCCTGATTGCTGTAGCAGGATTAGCAAGTCAAACATGATGCTTTATAACAGCTAAAAATGAGACCTCGGTGAGAACTGAGCTGGTGATTAAATGTGGTACCATAACAAAGGATTACCATGTTAACAGGACAGGCAGGTACAATAACTTCAGTTTGCATAGTCTTGTAAAGGACTTAATAATATAACTATTGTGTGCCATATAAGCTTTTAAACCTAACTATATTGTACTCAGTTATGGGCAATCAGGCTTTGTAAATGTTCTTCTTTTAGGTATGTTGATGTTATAAAATGGATGTTATTGCTTAGATTTGTGTGTAGATACTCTTACTTCCTGTATCTGTGAACAAGTGGGACAGGAAGGACAAAATAATTCAGGTTCAAATAAGATGGCTAGAAGTAACTGTGGGGAGTTTGGGCTTTTCCAAAAGTAGAAAATAACCTACTTGTGAGCTTTCACCCTGGCTTTGGAGAGAGAGGAGCAGCAGAGTTAAAATGAGTGGTGTTTTTTTGTGTGTGTGATTTCTTTCACTTTTGAGAAGTTAAACCACATCTGTTGGCTGCCGATATCCTGAATTTTTTCAGAAGGCTAATTTGAATGGGTAGAACACAGGTGAAATATCTGAGAGTGAACTTTCGATATTTATTTCACTTTTGGAACTTCTGTGAGAAAGTTGGAGTTAAATTTTTGTGTAATCAAGATGAAAGTAAGGCAAGTCACCAGGCTGATAGTTGCTGATGTTGAAATGTAGAACAGATGTGAAGCGGTGTCTGAAAAATTGTTCTCCAGAAGCTTTGAACAGAAACTGAGACACATCAGCATCTTCCACCAAAGAATTAATGTGTTCATTTGCAGCCTCAGGAGTTCCCCCTCCCACCTTCTCCCTCTGTGCACTAGATTCTTTGTGCCAACTATTGGTAGTGCTGTTTGGACATTAAGTAGCATGTAAGCAATTTCATGTAACAATTATGCTTAAGCAAAGCTCTCCTTTTAATTTATATTTATTTTATAAACTTGCTTCACAGGAAATTAGTGAATGCATCTTCAAGAAATAACCTAGTCCATTCCCTTATTCTAAGGCAGATTTACCTCTGTATGCGTACACAGTTCTGGGAGATGCTGATCTCTCTAGTTCTAACGGGTCTCTTGGGATTTTAAAAACAACAGAAACGGAAAAGCCTGCATAGCCTCCAGTTTATTGCAAGATTGGAATGCAAGCATATTGGACTAATATTTATTAACTGACACAGTTTTTTTTTTTTTTTAACTCCTCTGCTTTCATCCTCTGACCTTGAACATCCTATTGAAATAATAACAAAAAATAAGCTAAATAACTGTCTTCAACTGAAACAGCTAAATATTGATCCCAGTAGAAGAGATAAAAAAAATCAAGAAATGATCATGTTCTTAAAATTTTTGTTGCCTACATCCTAAATAACTTTTTGAGGTAGTATGCAGTGAAACTCTCCAACAGATTGCAGCTTTCTAAGATTTACCTTGAAAAATTTGTGTTCTGTTTAGATCACAGATGTTTATAGTGGCTTATTTTAAGAAAGCTCCATATTCTTTAAGTGTGCCACAGGATTTGCAGCAAACTAATGTTTTGTATTTAACTCTAATTTAAAAGCTTGTTATGATAATTGGTTTAAAACGGCATGTTATCCTGTAACTTATTTCAGCACTTGCAGTTCTTGTTGCAATGACTCTGAGTGATCAGCTGTTTGTGCAGCATCCTTTTGCAGTAAGGGCTAATTTCAGTTGTCAATGACTTATTCAACAGCTGCAAAATTGAATGTCGTAACTTTTCCTGTGAATTTAAGCATTACCGAATCTTGTATTCATCTACAACCTGATGGCAAATGACATTTTTGCCTTCAAAAATGTAATTTCCCTGAAGAGTCTTTTAAACTGCTAGTTATGTTCTTTAATTGTAGTGGGTCAGTTGTGTATTAGTGGAGACTAAATTGGGTGAGGGGAAAGAAGAGAGTTAAATTTGAGGCAGAAGTGAGACTAATGGTAAGGGCAGTGAGTTAGGGCTAAGTTGCCTGGAAACTGTTCTGCTTGTTGCGTTTTTTTTTTTATTACTATTATTATTTTTCCCTGATCATGGCAGTTTAAGAGGATACCTTCTTGGCTTAACGTGTCTAGAGTGTCTAGTTGAACTTGAATCTCAAATTTAGTTTTCCTTCAGTTAGACCCTTTGGGTGTGAGTCATTCCACCTTCCTCCTTCATTGATGGAGGAGTAGCTTACTCATCTTAAAACTGGGTGAGGTAAATACTGTTCTTGTAGTAAGTCTTCGCTGAAGGTTAGTTGCAGTTTCTTTGCTGGAATTTGGCCATAGCGCGCTCTCCCTCCCCATTTAGTAATAACCCTTGTAAAACTTTGCCCCAAGATTCGATGGGATTACGTGTCCTGCAGCTTACGTGTCTGGCTGTGGAGCTGCTTTAAGTTTGTCCAGTGCAGTTTCATTTTCCAGAAAAAAAGATCAAGTCATGCAGATCGTCATTTCTTTCTCTTTTACTTTCTCCCTTTGTCGGAGTACAGATATTGCTCCAAGGCAGTGGAGGATGCCACAAAGGTGGCAAAGCTTTAAGGTGCATTTATTTTGTACTCGACTAACCCAGTTCAGGTATTTAAACCTAAGTGCCAGTCACTTGAACTCTCTGCAGAGTAAAGGCATTGTATCCATGTTAGATTTCCCATTTAAGGCTTTTAAATATTAATTAAAAGCATTTTGTGACAAAGTTCAGCTAGTATAATGGAGTCATCTTGGATACAAAAATGGCTTTAATTCCCACTTTGTTTTATATTAAATAGATTTATTTGTAATTATCAAGAAAGTGAATTTTAACTAGGCCATTCCCTGGCAGTCCCATTCCTTTTGGGTTCGTCCTTCTGGAAGCTTTGAGAACTCTTCTAGTTAGAAGTAGGTTATTTGATCTTAATCAACTAAAGGAAAAATTACTTTGGGGATTAGCAGACCTATTTTTTTTTTTCTCTCAACAAGTTCCATGGTCAAATATCGCCAGTGTAATATATTTATGCTAATCTGAGGGCTGATAGTTTTGATATCGTTTCAGATGAGTTTCCTGAGCTAAGATGTCATAGGATAGGAACTTAACTTACAAGTCATGGTTTGGAGAGCACTGGCAAAAAGATACAGAGCATGACTCCAGTGGGTCCTTGGGGTATTTTAATATAGATGATTGTGAAGATGATAATGCATGTTTTCATTTGATATATTAAATTTAACTCCTTGGAAAGTAGGAGATGACAAATGTGTCATGTCTTTTGGAGACTCTCTGTAGGTCATATTTTTGCATTGAGGAATGGAAAAACAGTGAAGAATCCCTACTTTCTGAATTTCCCATTTCCTCTTCTCCCACTTGTCTTGCACTCTTTCACAAAGCACCTGTTAATGTCTTCTCAGTGGTAGCTAATTTTGGAGAATAGGAAGAACTCTATTGTGCTCTTAATAGCTAAGGCTTTTACTGAGACCAGCCTTTCTTTTAAAATATTTTAATTCATTTTAATCTTTCAACAGCAACAATATTGTCTTGTGGATGGATTATCTACCTAACTTACTATAACTCCCGGAACATTGGACTTATTTTAACATTGGTTCTTAACAGATTATATAAACATGGCTACATCCATATTGGTAAGTCATGATGAATGTGATGTGATTGTTTCTGCATATCTCCTGGTCTTCCATCATTATGTCTTAATTTGCTCAAAGCTCTAGGTGAAATCAAAGTGTTTGTGTTTTATAGTAGTTTATCAGCATGGATTTAATGTAAAAAGAAAAGAGTTTGATAGCTGCTTTGGGAGATAAATTTTAGTGTAGTAGAAACCACTCAACACCAAATTGCTACTATTGTCAAAATCTTTTAATTAAATTCTTCAATATTCTAAGTAAAAGTCACTTATGGGCTTATAGTACTTTTTATCCTGTTCAGTCTGCATACATTATGCAAATACAGCGTACATGGTCTCCTCTATCTCTTGTTCAAACCCCTTGTATCATAATTATGAGCCTTCTAAAATGGAAGACTGTCCTGAGCTCCCAGGGAATCTGCCCGAGCTGCTCCTGAACACGCCTGGTGCTTTGGTGTCGAGGGACAGAGCTCTCTGTGCCCCCTACCTCTGGGACTGGCTGCCCTATATCAGAAGTGTTGGGAGCGACTGCTGCTCTGGGCTCAGAGGAACTCGGTGCAGTCTCAAGCCTCGACTCCTTGGTAGAGTGATGTCCTTGCTTTCCAAATCAGCTGCCAGGACAGCTAATTGTGTTAATGCTTACTGGGACTGGAATATGTAGAATTCCTACAGACTAGCACACTTGCATCAAAATTCATTAACTTTTTTATTATTTTAAAGTATTTTTGAATAAAACAGGTCAGTACAAATCACTTGGGCTCTCACCCACATTACAGAAATATCTGATGCTGAGTCACAGAGGGCTCTATTCTGCAACCTCGCTCTGATTGTGCTTATAATTTTCTCTGACGCTTATTCTTTTGTGCATTCATCTCTCTGCTTCCTAGAATGACTTTTGCTAAGTTCTGGACTTCTGCAACTATTATTCATAAGTACAGTACAAATTAAACACTGTCATTTCCGTCACCCTCCTTCCCCCTGCCTGATTACTCTCTACACATTCAATGACCTGATCCTATAGATGTTCAAAATAGCTTTGCAGAATCTTACTGTAAGCTTGGCAAGACATTGAATTTTTGAGTGATCTGTTTCCATTTGTGTCTTTGGATGATACCAAACCTGGTACGTTTCAGAGATTTTTGTTACTTTCTCATTTGTTTTGTTTTGCGTATTCTGAGTTTGACTTCTCTTTTCTGATGAAAGTCAGTGTTTTCAAAGGAAAAGATCAAGAAATTCAGTCAACTCATCTCACATTACTGAATACTATATTCTCCCCATCTAGAAACTGTAGGCCAGTGTCCTGTAAATACTTTATTTTGCCATAGGTTCCTTCTCCTTCTCGGTGCTGTCTGGAAAAGTCATGGTGCGCGAGATCTATTACATTACGGAAGACATGTCCATCAGGTACAGCTACCAGCTATTGAACATTTGCAATTGAAACTCTTAGGGTTGGGTGGGATTCCTTAGCATTTGTGAAAGAAAACTCTTGAGAATTTGAAGAATTATTTTAGAACAACACCTTTAGTCCCATCACACTCTCATTCTTAAGTTCTGAAGATCTGTTTCAGGCCGAGTGCTGTGCATACCCCAATGAAATGGGGAAAAAGTTCTTATATGAACTACAGGCTAACATATTTTTGCAGATTTGACTGTTGACGTTGGAAAGCCTTGAGGAAACAGTGGGTCTGGGACTATATGCTGCTCAGTTACTGCAATGACTAGTATAGTATTGCACTACGAGGCATTAATATTTTGTATGTGCTTTAATACTGCTTATACAAGCTAAAACTGCAGATCTCGGCAGTGTCTAAGGTAGCATGCCCAGCAGCTGCATGCAGGAATGTGGACTATTAATGTTCTAACCTCTGTTTTATATACTTTATTCAATTTAGAATCCAAGATGGGTTTATCATATTTCGCTGGTGGAAGATGTACAACCCCAAGCAGAAGCAGCATGGTAGGCTTCTCAAGAAATTTTGAAAGCTTATATTTAAGTTACGTATAACCCACAGAAAATGTTTCCTTTGCTCTGTGTGTTGTATGTATGGGAATTGATCTGTTATTGTGTCCCGGAAGCATCTCGAGCAATCTGAAGTGTGTGTGTGTTTTTTTTTGTTTGGTTGGTTTTTTTGTTTTGTTTTTGTTTTTGTTTTAAACTCTTCAGTATATATAATTGGACTAGTACAAGCTAGTGCAATAAATACCACATTACATATCAGGACCCTTCTTTAGCAGGCACCAGTAGCCATAACAGTAGCCTTTATTAGCTGTAATCCAAACATAATTGATTCTGTATTCAATTATTAAACTTGGATAAATTATTAGAGACTTAAGAAATATTCTGGAAACTATTGCTAGATTTCAAAATACTGCAATGGTGTTACGGTAAGGGATGTTCTTTAGTGTTCAAGAGCTCACTGTTTTCGGTGATATGTGTGATCATAGAAGTAGCATAGTGTGGAAAAAATCACAATTTTTTTGTCTTATCTATGGCTGGGATAGGAGGCCCACCAGCTGATGAGAGAAATGAATTGTATCTGCAAAGACATTGTAAGATGGCATGAACAGCCTGTTATATGTGCTTACAGGGTTCGAATCTAGTCTTTTAGGGACTCAATCCCTGCCTCACTCCGCCTTTGAAGCCTCATAATTTCATCACTAATATAGAGGGGTCAGGGCAGATCACAGCCAGAAATGTGGCCGCTGTCTGTAGTAGGGGAAGAGCAGTAATGAGAGAGGTCAATAACCTTTGGAGAGGCTTCTGCCTTGCTGCTCCGAGTGGTCTCTCCTGGCAAGGAGCTCTTCGAACCTGCCGAAAGGTTTGTACAGCTGTAGCTTACTCAGCATAAACTCAACAGTGGCAGACCACTGTATACCTGTGACATGCTCTTTTATAGATACTTTTCGACAATACTGAAATAAGTTGGAAAGAACTGCTTCTTTCATTTTAATGCCCTTCCTAGGACAATGAGACATTGCTCAAGTTCTCTTTACCATAAGAAAACTCTTTCAGAAAATGGAACCTAGTCGTAAAGTTAATTAGCTTCTCTTAGTCACAGGTGCAATAGGTCCAATAGATTTGCATAGAATTTTCTTCATTTTCTACTGAGTGCATTTCTTTAGTGGCTCACAGAATGAAAAATGAAAAATGATTTGAACTTTGTCTGTCTCTGGTATTTTTGCTTGGCCTTATTATAAGGCTTTAACTGTATCTGCTTAAATTCCAGAGACAGCGGGCAAATAATTCAGTTAATCTCAGAGGTCAGAAGAATATAGGTCTAAAAGTAGCCAGGCACTGCTAACTTGCTAAGATCCATTGACTTCACAAGTCTGTGAAGTTACGCTAAGAAACGAAAACCTGAGAGAAGCAGGGTCTGAGATCTGCTGGAGAAAAGGGAGAGCTGAGTTTATTAGATAAGGAAATCCTGATAATAAAGCAGGTGTCTTTGAATTTTGTCTCTTGGTCAGGTATGCTATGGGCTTCTGCATTTCATCTCTAAACAGTGACAGCGGCAGTGTTTGCTCTAACTGCTTCATTTTCTGTGTCTGTGGGTAGTGTTGCTGTCGCTTCCTTTCCCAGGAGATGCAGGTTGGAGCCTGCTGTAATAGACATTGATGCTTCAGTTTCCTAAAGGCTGCTGGACTTGGAAAGACCAGATCATATTTTAGAGTAGTTCAGGTCTCTTGAGTAGGTATGTAACGGGCACTCTCTTAAGTAGGTAATTAGGGGGAAATTGTGTGAGCTTTTTTTCTTACATTAACCACTTAAATGGGTCATATTATCTAAGGCAAAAGTTAGTCAAAGTTGATCACGCTTCTGATTTACCACTTCATGCAGTTCCTGCCTGGATTTATTTTGGTGTTGTGACCAAAGGGTGAAACGCTCTTCAGGTTTTATATTTTGTATACCACTAGTCTGCTAGGCTTTATTGATTTGATTGGAACAGTGTAATGTGTGTTTCCTGTTTTTTAGTTTGTGCTCCAGCAGCTGTTTGCTGCCCTATATTCTTTTTGCAAAACATACATATTGAAAAATGGTGCTTTCTGTAAAGGACTGGAGCAGTTAAATGAGATTTACTTCTTTTCCCGCTGGTTGTGTAGATCCGAAGGCAGAAACAAGACTGTATATTATGGTGAACGACTTTGAATTTCATGTGTATAACCGTTCTGAACTCTATGGACAACTTCAAGAACTATTTGGCTTAGATCCCACAATAATTCCACCAAAGAAAGAAGATGAAAAAGCAGAAATAAATGGAAGGCAGAGAACACATACCAATCTTGAAAGGTAAATTTAGTTCGGTGCTTCCACGCTTTGTTTCGAAAAGTGTGGAACTAATAAGGTGATATTTTGTTAACATATGCTGTGGAAACAAGTGTTTGGAGCATACCTGAGAGAAATTGCACTGATATGCCTGACAATCTGAATCTTTTCTCCTCCTTCCCTGAGACTTCCTACTACAATATATATTTTTTTAAAAAATCAGTAACTGTGTATTCTTATTTAATGCTGAGAGACAGATTGAGAAGTATTTCAAGCACATTTTTAGAAAGGGAGGATGAAATGAAAGAGATTATGATTGCAGAACAGTCAGACCAATTCTCTGTTTATAAGTAACAGTGGCTCAGAGCATTGAATAGACAAGACAAATGTGAGGATCAATATGCAAGACCTATTGATTTTTCCAGTTTGAAGCTCAGGCTGATTTCTTGAGTGATTTCTTTCCTTTGGGAGGTGTGTGTTTTTGTGGAATTATTTTTTTTCTTTTAAATCATTTTTCTTGAGTACTCTACAAGACATGGTACAAGGATGCAGAGAGTTCCTTTACACAGATCATGCTGAGTGGAGTCGCATATTCAGTGATAAGCCTCTCCTTGGGCAGAATCATATCAAACACTGCTCTACTGGCATGAGTAGAGAGGAATGATGAGAGAGCAGATGAGATGCTGGTCCTTTTGCTGCTTTTGGCTAGGCTAGTGTGTATGGCCAGGCCAGAGCAAGACAGTGGACTGCTGCAGCGCTGTGGGGCAGCCTTCTTTCTGCATGAGGGCTGCACCCCTTGGGCAGGTGTTTCGTGTTGTGCTCTTGCAGCCTTGCTGATGCATGCAGCACACGTTTCCTTTAGGGGCCTGGAACATCTGCCCTATGAGGAGAGGCTGAGGGAGCTGGGGCTGTTCAGCCTGGAGAAGAGAAGGCTGAGAGGGGACCTGAGCAGTGTCTATAAGTACCTCAGGGGAGGTAGTGAGGAGGATGGTGCTGGCCTCTTTTCAGTGGGGGCCACCGACAGAACTAGAGGAAATGGCCACAAACTGAAGCACCAAAAGTTCCACAGGAACTTCAGGAAAAATTTATTGATAGTGAGGGCGACAGAGCACTGGAACAGGCTGCCCAGAGAGGTTGTGGAGTCTCCTTCTCTGGAGATCTTCAAAACCTGCTTGGACGCAGTCCTGTGCCACGTGCTCTAGGTGACCCTGCGTGTGCAGGGGGGTTGGACTAGGTGCTCTCTAGAGTTGCCGTCCAACCTTAAGCATTCTATGATTGTATGATTTGAGAAGGATACATCTTGGGAAGTGACAACCCCCACCAAAGACTCAAAAGGACTGTGGGGAATATTTAGAGCAGACCGATGATTTCCCCCAAGGCAGATTAATTATTCCTCTGTGTTAAAGAAGACTCAGTTGTTTCCCAGCAAACACCCAAGGCTTAGTTGCCTCTGCCTCTTGCTGCTTTTGCAGGCTCTGAAGGATTCTGCAGAAGACTCCTGGCAGGTACCTCTTGCAGGGATCCTGTGGGAAGGAACATTCCCCAAGATCTCAAGTCCTGCAGCAGAAAAGGCTGGTTAGTTCTTCTGTAGAAAAGACAAAACAATAAAAAATAAAAAAATGTTCTTTTTTGTCCCCCTCTGTAGCGTTAAAGTAAAAACAGAATCTCAAGACCCCTCTTCTTCATGGAGGTCCCTTATTCCTGTTATTAAAGTCAATGTAAGCACGGTAAGTGAAAATCCCTGATGATTAATACTTTTAGTGGTATAGCCTTAAGTCAGGCTTGCAATTCCCTTAATTCTGCCTTCTTTGTGAGTTTTTGTTTTCCTGCATCCTTAATAAAAAGTTCTGAAATTATCTTTTCCCCTGCTACTTCCTTCCTTCTTTTGAACTACTTTTGTCTTAAAATTGTAGTAAATTCAAGAATATCATCAACTAATTAAATTTGGCACTGGGTGTTGCAGAAAAACTCTTCTGCTTCTCTGCATCTTTTAATAGGGATGTTGGACACGTTCCTTAGGTTAATGTTGCATCACAAAAGCCAGAGAAACTGTTACTGAGGTCATAGAAGGTAAAATGTTGAGAGCTTGAATATGTGAAGTAAAATCGTAGTAACGCACAGATTATGGCCAGCATTTTTGTTCAGTATTTACATGCGTATAGATGGTTAATATGTATTACCCTGTGTAAATTACACAAATGAAGCACTGCGTAATTGGAGTGATGGGACTTTCTTTTTAATTTAGGGTCGTCTGGCATTTGGGAATCATTATCAGCCACAAACGCTTTGCATTAACTTCGATGATGCTTTTTTGACGTATACCACAAAACCACCTTCAAGTCACCTTGATCAATTTATGCACATTGTCAAAGGAAAACTGGAAAATGTTAGAGTCATGCTGGTTCCAAGTCCAAGATATGTTGGTCTACAGAATGATGAGTAAGATGTTTTATAACTTCATACTTAAAAAAGAGAAAATGATGTTCATTGTGTTTCAGTGTTTTTTTTTTTTTTTGGTTTTATTACTATGTTTAGATAGTTGGCATTGTTACTCTTACAGGAGGTCTAAATGGTGAAATTTTGAACCTATTTTATTTATGGAAAAAAGTGCTGCCTCCCTATCTCATTATAGTTTTTCTGTGTGCTCTGCTGTATGATTAATATCCTGCGTTAAGTTCTTCTTTCCCTTCACTCGCATACTACAGCTGCACATAGTTTGATAACAATTTTTAAGGATAGATTTGAGGCTTAAGTAAATTCTGTAGACCTGATCTACATGTAGTTTGGAAAGTAGTTTTTAAAAAATTAAGGCAAGGCTGCTTGCTATAATAGAAATCAGTTATCTTTTGACTATTACTGATTTCTTCTTTGTTTCTACATTTTCTTCCCCTTTATCGGTTTTTAACAAACTGTATCATAGCAGTAAATGAAATAAAGAAGGATGATTGCATAATGTGATTTGATATACTTTGTCCAGCTGGACGTTTCTGATGTGTGTACTTATGTATGTATTAACTTCTGGTATGATGTAGTATGAACCTAGAGCCAGAATTTTCTGTATCTCTGAGAGGCTGGGGTCCTTCTGAAGTATTTTCTTCAATGCTTACAGCGTGCTTACATTCAACAGACCAAGCTGCTAAATGTCCATCTTTTCCACTCTTTTTGTTTGCTCAACAAATGTGTAAATAATGTATATTATCCTTAGACAATTTTGTGCTTGAATTCTTGTAAAATAATTACACCCACTCATGTATTCCCTAAACAAACACTATCCAGAGAATGAATCACTATGGTTGGAAGTAAACAGTATTGTATCTGTGTATACACTGGCCTTGCATCAACCCGATACTATCATCTGTAATCCATTGAAAACATTGCACATGTAAGATGTTACTGTGGGGCATGTATGTATGCAATATCACTCCTGAACATGTGAAAGTTTCTGCAACTATTACTGAAAACAAACCAGCAATATTAAAACAAACTAGGGTTAATATTTTTACAACTACTAGCTTTCTCTATTACTTCTGCCAAGTGTCTTCCTTTACTGTCACTATCACTTTAGGTCCTCATGGCTGAGGGACAGCAGCTATGCAGCGCACATGTAGATGCAGCACAGGGCCTGATTCCCTGCAGCCTGGGGATATGGAAGTCTTTAGAGCCTGCCCTCTGGTGCCTCTTAGGTTGAAAATTTAAGCTGTGTCTTTTAAGTTGCAGAAATGCCTGCAGGTTCTGTAGACATAAAAACAGCTCAGCCAGTGTGTTACAGGTTTCATAAATTACTAATTACTGTAAGTACTGAGAAGCAACCTTGACACTTGTCTGCTTACTGCAAAAATACCTTATTTATAGAAGTGATGAAATCTCCCTTTCAAAAAAAAATCCAAACAGAATGTCTAAATCAGCAGGCCTAAAGGAGAAAAAAAAGGAAGGTAGAGCGCCTGGAGAGAGTCCACCGTAGGGCTACAAGGATGATCAGGGACCTGGAACACCTGCCCTATGAGGAGAGGCTGAGGGAGCTGGGTCTGTTCAGCCTGGAAAAGAGAAGGCTGAGAGGGGACCTGATCAGTGTCTATAAGTACCTCCAGGGAGGCAGTGAGGTGCATGGTGCTGGCCTCTTTTCAGTGGTGGCCACTGACAGAACTAGAGGAAATGGCCACAAACTGAAGCACCAAACGTTCCACAGGAACTTCAGGAAAAATTTATTGATAGTGAGGGTGACAGAGCACTGGAACAGGCTGCCCAGAGAGGTTGTGGAGTCTCCTTCTCTGGAGATCTTCCAAACCCGCCTGGATGCCACCCTGTGCCACGTGCTCTAGGTGACCCTGCGTGTGCAGGGGGGCTGGACTAGGTGACCTCTAGAGGTCCCTTCCACCTTTAAGCATTCTATGGGGTCTAACTTGTCCCTATAAAGGGCCTGTGAAGGGATTTCCAGCATCTTAGTTGTGTGAGGTATAGCTGTTGCCCCTGAAGGATGAAAAGATGGATTAGATGGTCTCATGGGGTACCTTCCTCTGCTATTTTCTACTGCTATAGCTTCATGCTTACCTGAGACTGAGAACATGGCTAAAAGACCCAGTTCTGTCACCTTTTTTGCATGACTATGACTTGAATGTTGATCATGCAATTCATTATTATTGAGGAGAGAAATACATGGGTCTTAAATTTTAGTCAGTTCTACAGCTGGCTTCACAGTTGTCTCATGCCAGTCCCATACGTTACAGACTGGTGAAAGGAAAGGTATTGGGAAAGAAAAATATCCTTCTTTTGGTTGGTGTGTGGTCTATAATTATTTCCGTAATGTAGAATAATCAACTTCCTCAGTTGGCTACTACCTCTTTTGCTGGTTGTCTCTTTAAACAGAGAGTCAAAGAAACTAGTGACAGGCTTCAATCCTGGAGAGAATGTTCTTCATGCATGAAAGAGAATTAGAAAAACTCCCTGAACAGGCAAAGCCCACAACTGTAATGAATGGGGACAGATCAGAGCAAGAGAGAGAAGGATTTTATTACTACTTAAACATGCATATGGGGTAAAGATGCACTAAAAGAATCAAAGAAGGAAGCCTGAGAAAAAAGGTGTAAGTTGTGTTTACTTGTATGTAGTGTAAGAAGAGATGGAAAGTGGAGGGGTGCTAAGACAGAGAGGCTGATCCAGGGCTAGCATTTGATGGGAGAACTTGGCCTTCCTCTCAGCTACTGCAGCTTTCCTGTGACTATTTCCCTCTTTTCTCACAGCTGCATTGCAGGGTCTTTTACAGAGTTGTTGGCTGTGAAGTCGTTAAACACTTCTTCAGCACAGATAATTTTGGTTAATCTCAGAATAGGCTTTGAGATAACTTTGTTTTAGCTCTGATCCAAAGCATTCAGCCTGTGTGAGTAAACACTGAAGCAGAAGTAGGCTGCTCTCGAAGCTGGCCTGTGTGTTCACACTAGCCGATTACAGTAGCTTTTGATAAGCACTCATGGAGTTTTCCCAAGTCTACCCCTGTAGCCACAGGCAAGAGTGCAGAGGGTGTCAAGGACTATGGCTCCCTGGGCCGGAGGCCAAGGGTGCCCTCCATGGAGAAGGGCTACTTATGCTGTACTTTGTAGAACAGAATGCCTATTACCGAGGAGAAAAGGGAGCCGAAGTGGCCTGCGTGTGCTGGCCGCCTTGGTGTGAGGGGCTGAGCCGCTTGAACAGGAGGCAGGCGATTCTAGCCACAGCGCCTCCCGGCCGCAGCGGGGACGCGTGCCATCGGAGCGCATGGAATAGGGTTAGGTCTCCTCATATACTAGTATATCTACACAGCTAAGCTTTTTTTTTTTTTTTTTCCTCACTTTTCTTCAGGAGCTGCTAAAAAACATTTTTTTTTCAGATCTTGTTTTATTTACATCTTCCTGGGGAGCCTACTACAATTTTTAGACAGGAAAATGAAATGACTGAGAAATTAGGAGCGAGCAGCAAGTTTTTCATCTTTAACTGCTGCCATTTTAAATATCCTACTTGATAGTTTTTTAAGATTTTTCTGTAGTACATGAGCTCTGCATTTGCTGCCTTACATATTTTCCAAAGTTGACTGCATTTGAAATGAGGTGAGGTAAAACGGGCAATTTACAGCAGATTACAGTTTTGAATTGTGTATTTTTGTCATCTGATTTTCTTTTTCTTTTTTTTTTTTTTTTTAAGTAGTGCAAGCTTGTAAAAGTGGCTAGAAAGTGAGAAAACCATCTACTTTTCCCCTTGCTGTGAAACTATACATAGTTGCATTGTTATGTAAATTAAGATATGGCAATATTGTAAAAAAGGGAACGTAGTGTACTAATTTCGTAAACTTTAGAAGTGTTTCATCTAATGGTTTTACTTTTTGGGTCCTTGAATGTTACTAAGAAAGAAGGTCTAATAACTGAAGACTGCTTGTCCCTGTGGTTCAGAGTGCTATTTTAGTAAGAAAACAATTAGTAGGTAAAAGAGGGCGATGTAGGGCAAGGAGAAATAAACTATTTGTGAAATGAAACGCTGAAAGTAAAACTTCAGTACTTGATTAGGAGCTATGATATAAGACAAATGTCTTTCTGCAGAGATGAATGTGGTACCCTCGTGTTTGACTTTAAATCCTTACGTTATTTCATATAATAATAAGCATATAATTAGCAGTTACACATGCATTTTTTTTTCTTTCAAATCAGGGTAGATGTAGCCTAACATTGGCAGTTTTATTGATGATTTCAGGGTTAAATATGTACTACATGTAAGCTAGAAGTGAGCCTGACTTAAACAATTTCTTCTGTCATACTTAAAACATTCTACTTAAAAAGACTTGAGTTCCTGGAGATTCGTCTCAGTGCGTATCTTCTTAATCTTTCTCTTTGCACTTTGTTTTTGTTTTACAGACCTCCAAGGCTGATGGGTGAAGGTTTTGTTGTAATGCAGTCCAATGATGTTGATATCTATTACTATATGGATGAACCAGGTATCTTCTCCAAAGTTACAAAAATAATATTTTATGGTGTTTGAGTGCTAATTATTTCATAGCCTGTATTTTTTAGGCAATTTCTTTCAGTTTTTTTCTTTCATGCTGAAAAATAAGCTGGCTTGGTCTATTTAAATCTCTAGCCTGAAAGAGTTAGTATAATATTTTGGGGTTGGTAAGAACATTCTGAAGTACTACTTAGTAGATGCATCCCCCCTTTTTCTGCAAATGGAAAAAACAGTTTTCACTGAGGCAGAAAGGAGAGAGCTGGTGTGTTTCTTATATTGCAGAACTAACAAGTTAAATTCTGCATTGTACAACAGTGTTTCCTTGGTGGATAGTGAGTAGGACTTTGGAAAGCTGCATGGGGTTTTGGCCATCTTCTTGCCCTTCCCTGTGGGGCTTACTTTGAATTGTGACTTGATATTTACGTATTGCAGTAATCTCAAAACAGACATTAGAATGCTGTAAACGTATTGTGCTTGGTAAATGTTTTTCGTGCAAATTTGAAGTAGCTTCATTTGATAATCTGTTTATTGTATTATGCAATGTAATATAGGTCTTGTACCAGAGGAGACAGAGGAAAGCAATGACGGAGAGACGAGCAATGAAGACAGCAAATTACAGGATCTGCCGCCGTGCTGGGGTTTGGACATTGTTTGTGGGAAAGGAACGGATTTCAACTATGGACCCTGGGCTGATAGGCAGAGGTATTATTGTGATTTGCATCTTGAGTTTTAGTCTTTAGTGTTTCCTTGTTAGGAAAACGTTCTGAAATTTTCTTGATGTGTTTGCTCAGACTTCTAACTTGTAGGAGGTGAACCAGGGAGTCTAAAATAAGACTTCTGCCATGATAATTGAGGATCAGTAAATTCATTATTGTTAACAGTGTTGGCCTTCCAAAGTTAGGACTGTTTTTTTTTTAAATTATTCTTTATTTATACATATAGTTTATAATCTATAGTTTTAATTCCTATTTTATAATTTTATTTTTTACCAAATATGTTTACCTAAGGGTTTAATCTTTTAATTATTAACATTCCAACTGCTGTTCTTAGTAGCTGACTTCTTTGGAGTTCATGGATGCAAATACACTGTATATTAAAGAGACAATTTATAGAAATATAAATCTGTCTGTGAAAATAATGAGGAGGCATCATTAAACATTGGTGAGGAGAATCAACCATTTAATGCAGTCCCCAAAATACTCATTTTTTAGGTAATTTAGTGACAAGTAATAGGACAAAACGATACTGTTGCCCTTCAAAAGCAAAAGGGGCTGACTATAGAGGGCTTGCTGAGTATTTCTGTAGGAGACAACGGGATTATTTACAGAGTAAAGACTATTAAGTAAAAGCGCTGTAATCACGGCTCCCTTACTCCCATTTTTCCCTTACTAGTTACAGATCGATACTTTTCTTGCCCTCCATTTATCCTCCTGTGAAACTGTTATGATTAACCATCTCTTAGGAATGGGAGGATGGTGAACCAAGAGTAATCATTATATCTGACAGTGTCCTATAGTATTTGAAATGCCTATTTCCAGAGCAGTGCTTTCCTGGGAACATGAAGCCGGTGAATCATGAATTATAGTTTTAGTGCTACCAAGAAAGCTAGCTCTGTGTGGGTATGCTTTTTATAATTTTAACTGACTAGATAAAAGACAGTTTGGTGCCAATGCAGGGTGTATAGATCTCTCACCGTGCCACGGATAGAAGGTAGGATTTTGGAAAATGCCTGAATGTTTTAGAAGCACAGATCTATAGAAATTCTGTGGCCTTTATACTATCAATTCATATAAGGACTTCTGAAAATACAGTTCTTTAATCCTGTATGTCATAAAATTCTGTGTTTCCTCAGGCCAATGTTAACAAATGTCTGTGTCGTGACAAATAGTTTCTTTAACTTTTAAGTTGTTACAGATGGTCAAATGATGGATGCTTGGGAAACTCCTGCTCTTCAAATACTTAAGTCTTCCCTTTTGAGAACTATGTAATCTCTGCTGTTCCTACTCCATATCCATCCGAGTAGTTACGAGTTGAAATTCAAGTTTACAGAAATATAGACCTCATTTCATTCTCATTCTGAAGTCTCAAACAGTCTGTTTTGCCTCTTTCCTGTTGTCTCTTTCCTGGGCTTTTCGTGAATTACTTATATGCAAACACGAGCATAGACAACTGGCTTCCTACTGTGTTTCTTCACAAGACTCTAAACTGATGATTAGGAAGAAGAAGAAAAACATAATTTGTTTGCTTTCTGGATTAAAATATTTTGTTTTAAATCACTTATCACCTGTCCATTTATGGTATTTATCCAAAATTCTTTCTTATGATTGGAACTTGGAGTCTGATTTCAATGATGAGTAGAAAAGCTCCCCGCTGTCGAAGAACTCTCAAGGTTTAAACAAATGTTCGTTCTTAGCTGTGCGCTGGCTTCTAGGGACTTGGCAACACAACTCCCTGATAAATCATTAAGTGATAAATACATAACTTTGGTTTCTTTCTATGAGTAAAAGTATTTCCTTCTTTTACTAGGGATTGCTTGTGGAAGTTTTTCTTTCCACCAGACTACCAAGTTATGAAAGTCTCAGAAATTGCAGAGCCTGGGAAACCAAGACAGATCCTCGCTTTTGAACTGCGAATGAATATTATTGCAGATGCCACTATTGATTTGCTTTTTACCAAAAATAGGGTAAGTAATGAAATTTTGCCTAGAAAACAGATTGTTACTACTGTAATAACTTTAGGCTCTTTGGTTATACGTGTCTTCATTTGTCTCAGAGGTTTGTTAACAATACTGTAGTTTTAAAAACTTAGAGACTTCGTTTTAATCTTCCAGGATCCTGGGTAAACCCCTAAAGGAGAAATACTGGCTGAAATGTACTAAGATTTGCTGAATTATTTGAAGTTTCTTCTAAGCTATGTTTTAAGTTGTCTCTATTAAGCTCTGTAAGCTCTGTATTTCTTAGTCTTGGAAATAGGCAACCTGATAAAATTACTGTGCAGACTTCCATTAAGATAGAACTTGCCTTGATAAAGATATAATTTCTGCTGATATTATGAGAAATTAATATGTCTGAGGTTTGAAATTTTCCCGTGTTCCTACTCTTACTAACAGAACCCAGGGTGACTTCATTCCTCACCCATTCTCTTCCTTTTTGTGACTGAAAGAGTAACATAGTGGTAAAAGACTGCTTATTTCCCTGCTCTTTTACTATCTTGAATCATAATATGTTACTCTGTTTCTATTTGTAGACCTAAAACAGCATTTATTAAGCCTAAAAGAGATAAAAGTATTATTTAATATCCATGGCATGTGAGTCGCTCTTTAGTACTTTTTTTCCTGAACGAAGGCAAGAAATACTACTGTTATCACATTATTTCATACAGGAATTTGGGTGTGAATAACACTCAGAGACATAAAATACACTCGATTTTGGGAGTCTAGAAGTAACATTTGGACTTTTTTCCCTCTTTTGCAATATAGGAAACAAATGCTGTACATGTAAATGTTGGTGCAGGATCATATTTGGAAATAAATATTCCCATGACAGTAAGTGAAAACGGTAAGTTAAGACTAAATTTAATTAACTTTCTTAATGTTTTCCCGTAATACTTACTATAATTGTTGTGGATCTGAACATCTTGCATTGTTTTTCCTTTGCAACTGTAAGATGTATGTTCTGCAAAGCCCCAAGAACAATTTCCTTGTACCTTTCATTATAAGATATTAAAGCACTTACATATTTAATTCAGTTGCCCCCACATTTTACTTGGGTTTGGAAATGTGCGTTTCACTCTCTGGACTACTAGAAAGAGTAAAATTTAACTGTGTGTGTATTGAAACAAACTGAATATATTCTCAGCTCAAGGAAGGAAGATGTCTTGATGGGATTTACGTAGCAGATTAACTCTAGAAACATGCTGAGCAATGTATTATAAAAACTAATTTCAGAGCTACTAATGTATTTAATAAATAACAATAAAAAAAGCCCATGGTGAAGTTGAGGTAGAAGTGAAATGTATTTCCTGCATTTGCTCATCTTTTTTTTTTTTTTTGCAGATACTGAAGCCCTTTGTTAATTTTTTCTTACTGTTCCTTTTTTTTTTCATATTTGAGTTTTACTCTGCAATTTAAGTAAAAATCTCCAAAGCTTGGGCATTTCCAGACCCAGCAAATTTTTGTCATCAGTCTTTGTTATCGGTGGAAATTAGTACTAATAATTTTGCCCTCTATTGCTTGTTAATTAAGAGATTAACATATTCTGCCCGCACATATATCCACCGTTATGCCTTTTTGTTAGCTGACTGCTAAAATCACTGTCAATATTTTATTAAATATGTTTGTAATTCATGTTCTGAACAATTATGTTAATATTTTGTTTCGTCTTGCTAGGCTACTCACCTACCATTAAAGGGCAGCTTTTACATGTTGATGCCACCAGCAGTATGCAGTACAGGACTCTCTTAGAAGCCGAAATGCTAGCTGTAAGTTTGCATTAAGTGCAAAGCTTCCATCTCAAATGCCTTTTAATAAAGAGCGTTTATTTCACTGCATCCCAGTTCTTTGGAGTCTTACACTGTGCAGGAAGATAATCTTTGAATGTATTTCACAGAATCTTAGTATGTAAGGAACGTGGGTATACCTGTAACTATAACTCTCAGTGACTTAGATAATGTATGAACAAAGTTATGTGTATTGGAAGTGGTGGGAGTTTTGAGTATTACTTGCCATTCTTACTTGTCCGATTTAATATATAGCTATTTTGCTCATATAGGTATAACAGTTAGAAATCCTTACAATTGCTAGCTGTACTAGGGTGTGTTCGTGTGTGTGTATTGAATACATGATCTGTAGATTTTTTTCACTAGTTGTTAAATGACATGAGGCTTTGATGTCTAGTCTTTGAACATCTTCTAAATGCTCATAAATAATATATTCCAAGAAATATAAACCATAGCATGTTGTAAAAAGTGATGCTTTTAATAAAAAGCTTCGGATCATAAATAACTTGGAAATAGTTATTGCAACAGATGGTAAATTTGTTGAGCACTATCAGAATTTCATAATAGACCTTTCCAAATAGATGAATATACTAACACTTGACCTTCAGACAGAGAAAAAGATTAAATTATTAAGGAACTGGAGTGGCCTTCTGTTCATCCCAGCAGGAAAAGAGTTTTAATTATTCAACGGAGTACATGTGTGAACACTGCTGAGCTGCAGTGTCAAGTGCTGTCATGTTTTCAAGTAATTCTGATGCTTTAATATCTTGTTCACAGTTTCATATTAATGCCAGTTATCCCCGGATATGGAACATGCCGCAGACATGGCAGTGTGAACTCGAGGTTTATAAAGCAACCTATCATTTTATTTTTGCTCAGAAAAGCTTCTTTACAGGTAACTATCCTATTTAAAAAGTTGCATACTAACCTGATTATTCTGTGATTTCCTCTCAAATCTTGCTGTGGCAAAATCTTCCAAAGTTTTGTTAATAAAAAAGCAGATACTGTTGTTTTGCATAATTAGGCTAAGAAATGGTCTCTTGGAGTGAAGTTCTGAGTGTTTTTTATTGGCTATTAGTGCACAAGTACACGATATTCTTGTATTTCAGAGCATCATCAATCTGTTGCTGAATGTTCCAGCTCCACTAACAGAAAGAGCCACACCAATGTGGCT